TACCTTACCCCGGGTGATACCCACCCTCACCTGCCCACCCAGGGTGATACCCACCCTCACCTGCCCACCCAGGTGATACCCACCCTCACCTGCCCACCCCAGGTGATACCCACCCTCACCTGCCCACCCAGGGTGATACCCACCCTCACCTGCCCACCCAGGGTGATACCCACCCTCACCTGCCCACCCAGGGTGATACCCATCCTCAAACCTGCCCACCCAGGGTGATAACCCACCCTCACCTGCCCACCCAGGGTGATACCCACCCTCACCTGCCCACCCAGGGTGATACCCACCCTCACCTGCCCACCCAGGGTGATACCCACCCTCACCTGCCCACCCAGGGTGATACCCATCCTCCACCTGCCCACCCAGGGTGATACCCACCCTCCACCTGCCCACCCAGGGTGATACCCACCCTCACCTGCCCACCCAGGGTGATAACCCACCCTCACCTGCCCACCCAGGGTGATACCCACCCTCACCTGCCCACCCAGGGTGATACCCACCCTCACCTGCCCACCCAGGGTGATACCCACCCTCATCTGCCCACCCAGGGTGATACCCACCCTCACCTGCCCACCCAGGGTGATACCCACCCTCACCTGCCCACCCAGGGTGATACCCACCCTCACCTGCCCACCCAGGGTGATAACCCACCCTCACCTGCCCACCCAGGGTGATACCCACCCTCACCTGCCCACCCAGGGTGATACCCACCCTCCCTGCCCACCCAGGGTGATACCCACCCTCATTTGCCCACCCAGGGTGATACCCACCCTCACCTGCCCCCCAGGGTGATAAACCCACCCTCACCTCCCACCCAGGGTGATACCCACCCTCACCTGCCACCCAGGGTGATACCCACCCTCACCTGCCCACCCAGGGTGATACCCACCCTCACCTGCCCACCCAGGGTGATACCCACCCTCACCTGCCCACCCAGGGTGATACCTACCCTCACCTGCCCACCCAGGATGATAACCCACCCTCACCTGCCCACCCAGGGTGATAACCCACCCTCACCTGCCCTCCCAGGGTGATAACCCACCTTCACCTGCCCACCCAGGGTGATAACCCACCCTCACCTGCCCTCCCAGGGTGATAACCCACCCTCAACTGCCGACCCATGGTGATAACCCACCCTCACCTGCCCACCCAGGTTGATAACCAGCCTCACCTGCCCACCCAGGGTGATAACCCACCCTCACCTGCCCACCCAGGGTGATAACCCACCCTCACCTGCCCACCCAGGGTGATAACCCACCCTCACCTGCCCACCCAGGGTGATAACCCACCCTCACCTGCCCACCCAGGGTGATAACCAGCCTCAGCTGCCCACCCAGTGTAATAACCCACCCTCACCTGCCCTCCCAGGGTGATAACCCACCCTCACCTGCCCACCCAGAGTGATACCCACCCTCACCTGCCCACCCAGGGTGATACCCAGCCTCAGCTGCCCACCCAGCGTGATGCCCAGCCTTAGCTGCCCACCCAGGGTGATACCCACCCTCACCTGCCCACCCAGGGTGATACCCACCCTCACCTGCCCACCCAGGGTGATACCCACCCTCAGCTGCCCACCCAGAGTGATACCCAGCCTCTCCTGCCTACCCAGAGTGATACCCAGCCTCACCTGCCCACCCAGGGTGATACCCAGCCTCACCTGCCCACCCAGGGTGATACCCAGCCTCACCTGCCCACCCAGGGTGATATCCTGCCTCACCTGCCCACCCAGGGTGATACCCAGCCTCGCCTGCCCACCCAGGGTGATACCCAACCTCACCTGCCCACCCAGGGTGATACTCAGCCTCACCTGCCCACCCAGGGTGTTACCCAGCATCACCTGCTCACCCAGGGTGATACCCAGCCTCACCTGCCCACCCAGGGTGATACCCACCCTCACCTGCCCACCCAGGGTGATATCCAGCCTCACCTGCCCACCCAGGGTGATACCTAGCCTCACCTGCCCACCCAGGGTGATACCCAGCCTCACCTGCCTACCCAGAGTGATACCCAGCCTCACCTGCCCACCCAGGGTGATACCCACCCTCACCTGCCCACCCAGGGTGATACCCACCCTCACCTGCCCACCCAGGGTGATACCCACCCTCACCCTCCCACCCAGTGTGATACCCACCCTCACCTGCCCACCCAGTGTGATACCCACCCTCACCTGCCCACCCAGGGTGATACCCACCCTCACCTGCCCACCCAGGGTGATACCCACCCTCACCTGCCCACCCAGGGTGATACCCACCCTCACCTGCCCACCCAGGGTGATACCCACCCTCAACTGCCGACCCATGGTGATATCCAGCCTCTCCTGCCCACCCAGGGTGATACCCACCCTCACCTGCCCACGCAGGGTGATACCCAGCCTCACCTGCCTACCCAGAGTGATACCCAGCCTCACCTGCCCACCCAGGGTGATACCCACCCTCACCTGCCCACCCAGGGTGATACCCACCCTCAGCTGCCCACCCAGGGTGATACCCACCCTCACCTGCCCACCCAGGGTGATACCCACCCTCACCTGCCCACCCAGGGTGATACCCAGCCTCACCTGCCCACCCAGGGTGATATCCAGCCTCACCTACCCACCCAGGGTGATACCCAGCCTCACCTGCCCACCCAGGGTGATACCCAGCCTCACCTACCCACCCAGAGTGATACCCAGCCTCACCTGCCCACCCAGGGTGATACCCACCCTCACCTGCCCACCCAGAGTGATACCCAACCTCACCTGCCCACCCAGGGTGATACTCAGCCTTACCTGCCCACTCAGGGTGATACCCAGCCTCAGCTGCCCACCCAGAGTGATACCCACCCTCACCTTCCCACCTAGAGTGATACCCACTCTCACCTGCCCGGAGGTGTGTGGTACTTTTCTTCCCCTACCCTCCCAAGGGTTGTGTGGGGTATTCACCTTCACCTACCCACCCAGGAGTGGTGTGGGGTACCCACCTTCACCTACCCACCCAGGGGTAGTGTGTGGTACGCACCTTCACCTACCCACCCAGGGGTAGTGTGTGGTACGCACCTTCACCTACCCACCCAGGGGTAGTGTGTGGTACGCACCTTTACCTACCCACCCAGGAGTGGTGTGGGGTGCCCACCTTCACCTACCCACCCAGGGGAGGTGTGTTGTACCCACCTTCACGTGCCCACCCAGGAGTTGTGTGTGGTGCCCACCTTCACCTACCAACCCTGGAGTTGTGGGTGGTGCCCACCTTCACCTACCCACCCAGGAGTTGTGTGTGGTGCCCACCTTCACCTACCCACCCAGGAGTTGTGTGAGGTGCCCACCTTCACCTACCCACTCAGGAGTTGTGTGTGGTGCCCACCTTCACCTACCCACCCTGGAGTTGTGTGTGGTGCCCACATTCACCCACCCACCCAGGAGTTGTGTGTGGTGCCCACCTTCACCTACCCACCCAGGAGTTGTGTGTGGTGCCCACCTTCACCCACCCACCCAGGAGTTATGTGTGGTGCCCACCTTCACCTACCCACCCAGGAGTTGTGTGTGGTGCCCACCTTCACCCACCCACCCAGGAGTTGTGTGTGGTACCCACCTTCACCTACCCACCCAGGAGTTGTGTGTGGTACCCACCTTCACGTGCTCACCCAGGATTTGTGTGTGGTGCCCACCTTCACCTACCCACCCAGGAGTTGTATGTGGTACCCTCCTTCACCTACCCACCCAGGAGTTGTGTGTGGTGCCCACCTTCACCTACCCACCCAGGAGTTGTGCGTGGTACCCACCTTCACGTGCTCACCCAGGAGTGGTGTGTGGTACGCACCTTCACCTACCCACCCAGGTGTTATGTGTGGTGCCCACCTTCACCTACCCACCCAGGAGTTGTGTGCGGTACCCACCTTCACGTACCCACCCAGGAGTGGTGTGTGGTACGCACCTTCACCTACCCACCCAGGTGTTGTGTGTGGTGCCCATCTTCACCTACCCACTCAGGTTTGTTACGTTCTCGTGTAGTTGTTGTTCTGCTGAACGTTCATGTCACGTCACTGATAAGCTACTTTCTGACCAACAAATGAACATTACCAGACGTGTTCTTATTAATTCAGCTCCTGCAACGACACCGTCACCAGCTCCTGCATCAACTCCGTCACCAGCCCCTGCAACAACACCGTCCCCAGCTCCTGCATCAACTCCATCACCAGCCCCTGCAACAACACCGTCACCAGCTCCTGCATTAACTCCGTCACGAGCCCCTGCAACAACACCGTCACCAGCTCCTGCATCAACTCCGTCACCTTTCATACATTTATTGAACAAAAGGACCAACATCTCCAAAACTATATCCCACACCTGCTTCTAACATCTCTGTCTTAACCACATCAATCCCAGCTGCTTTACCCCCTTTCATTCTACCCACTACCTCGAGCATGTCCCCTACACTCACATCTGACTCTTCGTTACTCCTAAAAGATATCATACCTCCCTGGTCAATGCACGATATCGATGCTTCCTTCTCTTCATCCACATTTAGCAGTTCTTGAGAATATTCTCCCCATTCCAGTACCTCCAACTCTCCAGCTGATATCTCACATCTTATTTTAAATATATTGATTCCTTAAACTTTCTCTACTTGTTAATATATCTCCAAAAAGAATTCTTATTCTCAGCAAAATTTGTGGACAGAACTTCATCCATTCTCTCAGTTGATCTTGTTTTACACTTCTTCATTACTTTCTTAACCTCTCTTTTACTCTTCATATACTCCTCCCTCCTTTATCACTTTTGTTTTTGTGAAAACCTCTCATATGCTAACATTATATATATATATATATATATATATATATATATATATATATATATATATATATATATATATATATATATATATATATATATATATATACATATACACATATACACATATACATACATACAAACATACATACATACATACATAGACTTGTGAGGCAAAAAAGCCATTCCACTAGCATACCAGCCATGTTGTAATATTAGATGTATGATGGCCCAGATTACGGCTCCAAATGACTCGCCTGCGTCTGCGTCCACTCCTGCGGCAGTGGACACAACGCAGGCTAATCGTTTGGCGAATTGTTGGTGTTCTGCAAGAAATCGTTGATAGAGGCACTCATGGAGTCGTGAGTGTGCTCACTTCTGGAGTCGTGAGTGTGCTCTCTCCTGGAGTTTAGAGTGTGTTTCTGCGACAGAAGAGAAACCTTGCAGGAGTTTCATGTGTTCCTGCTGAAACACCCGTGCACTCTGCTGGTGTGTACTCATGTGGGAGTAATCTCATCACTGCGGCACTTCATGTTGTCAGCCAGAGAGATGTTGCAAGAGTTCCACACAACGCAAACGGATGCGTATTTACAAACATTTTTATGTCTGGTTGCTGACTTCTAAGACTTAAACACATGCTGCTAACACCTGTGTGTTAAACACATGCTGCTAGCACCTGTGTGTTAAGCACATGCTGATAGCACCTATGTGTTAAACATATGCTGCATCTGTGTGTAGAGTTTGACGTTACTCTGCTTGTAGAGTTACAATAAAGAGAGTCACATTTCTTATCTCTTCACGTCAAAGTAAATTATTTCTTCATGAGGAAGATTTTGAAACACGAAGTCAAAATGATCTTCATCTTTCTGTATTGAACATCAGAAGTAACACTAGGAGAGTTATACCGTAAATTTCAATGTCTATAACTACGATTATAATGATTATTGTTCTTGGAGATAATTAAGGACTTTCAACTCAAGTTAAATCGTAATGAACGACTCGCAGTGAATAAAAGGGATGAATGGACGGAGACTCGGACCGTGGTACTGGTATGTAACAGGTCCTGTTGTACACTGTTGGGCCTTGCAATGTAAACAGACTGAAACCGCTGAAGTGTCAGTCTCAGGCTGGTTACAGGTACTTCTGACAGTCCAGTACACACTAAATGTGAAGTATACAGGAATCTGTAGTGTCATACTTGATACTTATATTGTAATTAATGACATAAACGTCATACAGTACGCTAACTACTTACGTCAAGGTAGTTTATTAACGGTACTGAGATACAGTGCCAGAAATTCTGACCGAGAATCCTAAATTTAGTCGTAATATATAACTGAAAGAGAATAACATACACCCAAATGTATTTTAGTTATCCCTTTTAGTGCCTAGTTCCTAGGTCTTTTAATGATTAGTTCCTAGGTCTTTTAATGATTAGTTCCTAGGTCTTTTAATGATTAGTTCCTAGGTCTTTTAATGATTAGTTCCTAGGTCTTTTAATGATTAGTTCCTAGGTCTTTTAATGATTAGTTCCTAGGTCTTTTAATGATTAGTTCCTAGGTCTTTTAATGACTAGTTCCTAGACCTTTAAATGACTATTTCCTAGGTCTTTTAATGATTAGTTCCTAGGTCTTTTAATGATTAGTTCCTAGGTCTTTTAATGATTAGTTCCTAGGTCTTTTAATGATTAGTTCCTAGGTCTTTTAATGATTAGTTCCTAGGTCTTTTAATGATTAGTTCCTAGGTCTTTTAATGATTAGTTCCTAGGTCTTTTAATGATTAGTTCCTAGGTCTTTTAATGATTAGTTCCTAGGTATTTTAATGATCAGCTCCTAGGTCTTTTAATGACTAGTTCCTAGACCTTTAAATGACTATTTCCTAGGTCTTTTAATGATTAGTTCCTAGGCCTTTTAATGACTAGTTCCTAAGTCTTTTAATGATTATTTCATAAGTATTTTAATGACTGTTTCCTAGGTCTTTTAATGACTAGTTCCTAGGCCTTTTAATGACTATTTCATAAGTATTTTAATGACTGTTTCCTAGGTCTTTTAATGACTAGTTCCTAGGTCTTTTAATGACTAGTTCCTAGGTCTTTTAATGACTAGTTCCTAGGTCTTTTAATGACTAGTTCCTAGGTCTTTTAATGACTAGTTCCTAGGTCTTTTAATGACTAGTTCCTAGGTCTTTTAATGACTAGTTCCTAGGCCTTTTAATGACTAGTTCCTAGGTCTTTTAATGACTAGTTCCTAGGTCTTTTAATGACTAGTTCCTAGGTCTTTTAATGACTAGTTCCTAGGTCTTTTAATGACTAGTTCCTAGGTCTTTTAATGACTAGTTCCTAGGTCTTTTAATGACTAGTTCCTAGGTCTTTTAATGACTAGTTCCTAGGTCTTTTAATGACTAGTTCCTAGGTCTTTTAATGACTAGTTCCTAGGTCTTTTAATGACTAGTTCCTAGGTCTTTTAATGACTAGTTCCTAGGCCTTTTAATGACTAGTTCCTAGGTCTTTTAATGACTAGTTCCTAGGCCTTTTAATGACTAGTTCCTAGGTCTTTTAATGACTAGTTCCTAGGTCTTTTAATGACTAGTTCCTAGATCTTTTAATGACTAGTTCCTAGGTCTTTTAATGACTAGTTCCTAGGCCTTTTAATGACTAGTTCCTAGGCCTTTTAATGACTAGTTCCTAGGTCTTTTAATGACTAGTTCCTAGGTCTTTTAATGACTAG